CCCCCGCGCCGCCCCCGCCCCGCGCGCCGGGCGCGGCCGCAGCGCCGCCGTCCGGGCCCTCCAGCAGCAGCAGCGCCTCGGGGCCCTCCAGCAGCTGCCGGTCCGCGGCGCGCAGGGCGGGGTCGCCGTACAGCCGCTCCATGTGGGCGGCCATGGCCGCGTCGCTCATTGGGCGCCCCAGCTCATCCTCCTGGAATCTGGGATAGGCACAAAGGAGATAGTTTTGGGGATCGACGAGGAGAAGCAAAACATCTGGGGGAGGCTCAGGGACGGCCGGTTTTCAAGGCCCGCACAGCACACACACACACAAACACACACACACACACACACACATACACAAACACAAACACACATGCACGCACACGTGTCACACATGCGCCACGCACCAACGATTGATTGCCTGCCCCCTTCACAACAGAGCATACGCACGCGCACACACACATCCACACACCCACACACACACGCACACGCACACACGCATGCATGCGCGCGCGCACACACACACACACCTCCCTCCCAGACACACATCACACACACATCACACGCACCTGCAAGTCACGACCGCGCCATCCAGCGACAGAACCACGAGGTTATACCCGTCAGGCGTCCACGCCGCGTCCAGGATGCCGAGCTTTGACACGCGGCTGCCCAGCACCACCGCGCGCGGCCGGCCGGAGGACCAAACAGAAAACTGCTTGTCCATGCTGGCCAGCGCAAAGACGGTGCTGGGCTCCTCAGACACCTCAACCCCGCCCGCGCCGCTCCCGCCCGGGCCGCCGCCGCCCTTTTGCCCAACGCCGCGCGCGACGATTGTCTCCGGGCCGCCGCCGTCGCCGGTGGCGCCGGCACTCGGGGCGACAGGCGTGTAAAACAGCCGGGGGTTGGGGCGCACGGCCACGACGGGGGCGTTGTGGCCGACAAAGCAGAAGAACTCGTCCCATTGGTCGCGCTTGTACACGCGGCAGTGGTTGCGCTGCGTGCGCCTGTCAAACGCGTTGGGGGCTGCGAGCCACTGGCCGTCCGGGCTCCAGGCCAGCCTGTTGCGGAGGGAGGGGGCGAAGGGTCCTCCGAGGCTCCGGGATGGAACAGCATGCACAGGACGCGCCGAGGGCGCCGCTATGCTGCCGGAAATCTATACAACCAATGGGGGCGAACTGCACCGCCCCGGCGACGCCGCTGGAACTTAGGCCGCGAGGCACCTAGGCCGCGCCATGCATCCTGCCTGGACCGCCGACGCGCTTCCCACATCGAAGAGAGTGGAGGAACACAATGGTTCCACGCAGTTCAGTCGATGGGAAACCGCTCCCATACAATAGACCCACAAACAGGCATACCTCAGGTTGAACATCTGCTTGGACGCGAATTTGAACTCCGCCGACAGGTGCGCCACCTGCCCCCACCCGTCGCACGCCCACACGCGCACGCCGTCGTCGCCCTGGGACGCGAGGTAGCGCCCCAGGGGGTCCCACGCCACGCCCTTCACGTGGCCGGCGTGGCCCTTGATGAAGGTGACGAGACGGTACGGCCGCTCCCCGACCGCCCAGATTCCGACGAGGGAGTCGATGCTCGCGGTCGCGAGGAGCTGGTCGTCGTGCGACCACGCCAGGTCGGCGACGATGCTGCTGTGCCCCCGCAGCACCTGCACCGGCCGCCACGCCTCGACGCCGCGCTGCGCGCCCGCGCCGCCGCCGAACGCCGCGGCCGCGGCGGCGGCGCCGGGGCGGAGCTCGCTGACGACGACGCAGGTGTCGTCCGAGCCGGTGGCGAGGCGGCCGCCGGCGCGGCTGAAGCGCGCGACGTTGACGGGGGCGCTGTGGTCCTGCAGCGTGGCCAGCAGGCGCGGCTTCGAGGCGTCGAGCTCGGAGGGCTCATCGAGGATCGGGGCCAGGCTCCAGACGCGCACGGCGCCGGTGCTGCTGGTGACGAGGCGCGCGCCGGACGCGTCGATGTCGAGGGAGAAGGTTTGGTCTGCGGGCGGGGGCGCGCGGGCCGCGGGCGACGCGCGCGGGGGCGGTTGCCGGTTGGCGCGACGGGGCCTCACTGTGCCGCTCTGTTCCATCTACGCCGCCCGTGCTCCGCTGGCCTTTGCGTACCCGAGTGCTCCAGCCAAGGCGGTTTGTCGATGTACATTGTGCTCCGCTATAGCCGCTGCTACCGTATAAAGCTCAAAGAACCAGATCAAGGTGACTGGAGCCAGATGCACTAACAGTGAGCAAATTAACAATACGTAAACAGTGTTGAGTCGATAACACGCAAGCTGCGAAGGCAAAATCCAACATTGATCTGGCGCGCGAGACTGTTGACGAGATGCTTTAAGTATCTGAAAACTGCGACGGACATCAGTACGTCTTTTGATGCGCTGCTCACATTGGCAAGCGGCGCCATTTGGGTGTAGCTGCGGGCATACATTGTGCTGCGCGTGCTGCTCGCGCTGTTATGAGCCGCGTTGCTTGTATGGTTGTGAGAGTCACTTGCTCGTGTGCATGTTATTGTAGCCAGCCTTTCTTCTTGCTTGAACCAGCGCATGGTCCACTGGGAGTCCACTGATTTCTTCCCACAGTCCAGACTTGGGTGAGCAGCACCCGCAGGAGCACCCAGCCCGTGCTGAGTGCAGGCTCCCCTCGGCACGCATAGGAGTGGCGCTCCAGGCGCAACAAGTTCTGGATGATACACGTACAGGTCGCGGTGAAGGCTGCTCTCATCATTGTGACGCAATCATGGCAGCACGGAAGGGAACACGGCCCTAGAAGTGGGTGCCCCTGAGGGCAAGCATAATAATGAGTTCAAGTGTGCAAGGCTTCTGGTAACAGGCTCTGCAACTAAACCTGACACCACCTTTTGACACATCCTTCAAGTCGTGTGCGGGCACACAAGCACCGTGCATGGGCGGCGTGCCGCGGCGGTAAGCACAGCGTGGCCTGGACGTCAAGCGAGTTGGCTGGTGCTTGCTTTGCGCTGCCCTTCACAATAGCAGCCGCTGGTAATCTCGTGTGTATGTCAAAACACCCTGTTGGACCTCTAGGTTTTAACCTTAGAGAGCTGCGTGTAGGTTGGCATCCGCATTACAACTGACGAGATGCTGGTGTGGCACCTCTGCATGAAGGTGCGTGTGCTGCTGTTGCAACCCGAGATGCATGGTGGCAAGGCTGAAGAACACACACACACACATAGACACACGTAGACTGCATGATTACTGATGAGCCCAAAGCTACCCTTGGCTTGGGCTCGCACGCGACAAACTTGGATCATCCTTCGTTGGCCAACGTCACTCCATCCAAGTGACGCCTACATGACCATGGAGCTGGAGCGGCCTTCCAGCTCGGCATGGGCTCAGATGGTAGCAAGGTTTTCCTATTTGGATCTACAATACTGCACCAGCGCGTGCTGCGTGCTGTGGCAGCTTGAAGATGTGTCGCGGGGCCATGGTCCAGCACAGTGTGTGAGGCACATCGCAATTGCTGAGAGACTAAGGTCCTGAAGGTTTCGTATACACGGACCGTGCTGCAGGATCCGGAGTAGCAGCATGGATCACCCAGGCCGCAGAGAGCTGTCATGCAGGGTGAGGAGCAAACACGGTTGCGCACCGGTTGGCATACTTCATATATACGGCGTGATTCACCTGCAGCAGCGCGCAGAACCCCTCAGGCCCATCCGCACCCCGCCTTGCCACGTCGCCTTGGCCCCTCTGTCGTGCTCGGTGCCCCGCTGCAGATCAAGCGCGCGCGCAACCTGCGCACCACGGCCGGCAGCAGCGGCCCCTTTTACGCCTACGTTGTCGCGCGCTTCGGCGAGGTGCACCATAGGACGCACGTGGAGGATGCGTCGTCGAATCCAGAGTGGAACGAGGTGGTCATGTTTGACGCCAGATCCATGGAGCAGGAGGGCAGCGTTGTTACTTTTGAGGTCTGGAACCAGGGATACCTGACGGATGATTTGGTGGGTGGCATTGATATTGGTATAGAAACTAGGCCCTCAACAGCCGGGGACGCTGCTGCGGCAGGGTTGGGTTTCCAGCCCCCAGCGATGACGTCATGCAGGGACGCCTGAGCACGGTTGTGCTTGGGCGTGGACCGTGCCGGTTCGTCCAGCCAGCAAACAGTATGAGCACTTTGTCGGGGCTTCGATATGTATGATGTGCACATACATTGACGCACCAGAGGCTCCTTGAAGCGTGGCGCGGCGCATTTAGAGCGTGGCTGCCCCTCTATTGGGGTTGGGACCTCCTGAAAGAGGCGGATATCCACGGGACATTTGCATTGCAGTACGTGCATGGCACAGGCTTCGCCTCTGCATGTATTATGAGCATGGTGGGATGGTCTGGCTGTGTATTTCCACCACCGCACACCAAAATCCATGCTCAACTAATTGACACTTGCAGCTGTCGAAGGCGTATCTGGACCTTGAGCTGCTGTGCGAATCAGATCCTTCCAGCCAGCAGCAGCAGCAGCAGCAGCAGCAGCAGCAACCGGTCGCGGCCGGCGGTCAGCCCACGCCGCCGCCGTCGCCGCCGCCCTCCGGCCACGCGACGCCTGGTATCTCGCCGCCGCCGTCGCCGCCCGTCTCGCGCCGCGTCACCGGGGACGCCGCGGCGGCGGCCGCTCCGCAGCGGCGGAGGGAGGTGCTCACGCTGCTGCCCGCAAGCTCGAAGCCCGTCAAGCCGCGGCCGGCAGCGGGGGGCGGCGGGGGCGCAGCGCGGCGGCCAGCGCTTAGCCGGGGGACGAGCGTGCGGTCTACGCACGGGCTGCGCGCTTCGGGGCGCGTCGTGACACTGGGGGAGCTGGAGGTGGAGGTGCACTGGGTGGAGGAGCCGGCCTATGGCAACGAGGGTGAGGGGGGGGTTTGGATTGGATTTGGGGTGATTACGGCTGGGTTTACTGCAGGGAAGGTTGGCGTGGGCTGGACGGAAGGGGCAAACACCCGCATGGGCCATCCTCTTGCGTCGCGCTGCTCCTATCATGCCCTCAGGCACATGTGCACACCAGGCGCATGTGCGCGATCAGGGGCACGTGCGCGCCGGGCGCATGCGCGCACCCGCAGGCATGCATGCGCGGACGAGGTATGTGGCGCCCACCTGCATGCATACACCGCACGTGCACGAGCTCGCAACAACCCACCATGTGACAGTGCCTGCACCCATGCGCAAGCGTTGCTTCGCATGGCAAGTACAGATTCTTGGCATCTCGCCTGCCCCCTCCCCTCCACGCTGGCCCGCAGGCGCCCTCCCCCGCCTGCTGTCTTTCGTCAAGACCCCGCAAGAGAAGCGCCACCTGCCCTGCACCACCCATGTCGGGCCGGCCACGATGTACGAGGAGCCCTGCATTGCATTTGTCAAGCTGTCCATAAACACGATCAACCTCGGCCTCGCGGGTGCGGCTGGCTTGCGTCACGGCGGCTGGTTTGGGCAGGGGAGGGCATGGTGGGTGGGTGCGGGCGCAAGTGCGTGACTTGTCGGGCAAGGCGACTGTAGGCTGGGCAACTAGCGGCCAGGTAGCCAGGGTTTTGTGACGAAACTGGTGGTATCAAGCTAATAGGGTGTGTGAGTGAGCAGGGGAGGTCGTCATGACGTGGATTGATTGGACTTTGCTGCAACACACACACACACGCACACACACACACACACACACACAAGTGCAAAGTGCACACACGGGTGCTTTGCTGCAGCCAGCCGCAGCTGGTGGAGGTGGAAGGCTCAGGTATAGCGGCGGTGGAGTCGAGCCCTGGCGGCGGACCCTGACCGCACGCCTCCCAAAAGTGCTTGCAGCGCAACACCCCAGCCCGTGCCGACGCCCGCTGCTCTTGAAAGCCATCCGAACCCGTGCCCCGCACGCAGGCGCGTACGCGACGCCGCACGAGGTGATGCGCCACGTGCAGAAGCTCCTGCTAGGCGGCCAGCGCGCCAAGGACCAGATGCAGAAGCTCCTCGACAAGTCCAGCAGCATAGCGATCGCCAACGCCGTCAACCAGGCAGCCGCGACTCTGAGGACGGAGCCGGGATTCGGCGGCGCGGCGATGGCGGGGGGCGGGGGCGCGGGCGCGGGCGGCTTGAGGGGGCTGGACGCGGTCGGGACTTGGGACTGGCGGACTGGGTCCGAAACGACGGAAGGCGGGCTGTCGGAGTGCGCCTCCCTGCCGTACAGCGCCATGGATTCTGGTGGGTCGGGGCCGCTGGGCGTGATCTCATGATGACATCACATTGTGGGCAGTGTGGGGGTCGCGCCTGCCCAGTCCTTGTTGCTTCATCCTGCAGCCCTCCGGCAGATGAAACGCATACCTAGTCTGTGCTCGCGCCGGCTGCGGGCCGGCCCGGCTGACCCGCCGCTGCTGGGCTGCCGCCGTGCGTTCTTCGCCTCTCCCCGCCGCACCCGACGCGCCCGCGCGGCCCGGCCTTCGAAAACTCTTCTAGGTGGCGAGGACGTCGAGATGGTCCTGGACTCCCAGGGGCTGCAGCACGCCGTCGACAGGCGGCAGTCGCTGTTCCTGACGTGCCGCATCAAGATGGGGGCCACCGGGGAGACGAAGACCTGCAGGGTGCGCGGCGAGTCGTGGGCGGGAGCGACAAAGCGGGGTCGCGGGGAGCCGCGTCGGCCGTGTGTGTTGGAACTTGTGTGGGTTGCAGGGGCGGTGCGGCCACCGTCATGGATGGCAGGCGGGTCACAGGCCTAGGGGGGAAGGGCATCAATCTGGCCCAAGGGCGGGCGGAAGCCTTGCCAAGAGGCTCGTACGCACAGCTCGAATGCAGGCGCTCTGCTTGTGCCACGCTAACCCCGGCCCTTGCTTGTCATCAGCTGTCGACCGCCGCCGCCTGCGGCCCTGGCCCTTGTCCCATCAGCCGGCGCAGGTCACCCTGGACGGCAACGCCAAGGTCAGGGAGTCGGTGGTGTTCGCGGTGCTGCGGCCCCTCAACGACTGCACCGTCGACTTTGAGGTGCGGCGGGCCAAAGCGGCCAGAGCCTGCACACGTGGCATTGTGAGCGGCCGCAACCCGGCTGTGCTCCGTGCCTATGCCTCCCTCGTCATCTCTCTGCCAACCGAATTGCTCCCCTTTCCTGCTCTCCACCCTCTCCAATAACCTGAACCCCGCCCCAATCCCCAACACTCGATCCCAAAACTCCCACCTGCAAACCACCCACTTTCACCCACAACATCACCCTCACCACCCCCACCCCCAACGTTCCCAACCCCCCAGGTCGGCATGCACCACGGCCGTCATGGCTTCAGCCGACTCGTCCTCACCTTCAGCTACAGCCTGCTGCAGCTCCTCACGCGCAGCCCCCCACACCCCATTACCTTTGAGGAGTGGCGTCTGCTCAACAAGGACTCCCTGCCCGGCCTGCACGTGAGCGGCGGTGGCGCCCGCGACGCGGCCGCCGGGCGGGTCCGGGCTGTTGTTTGAGAGGTTGGCGCCTGTCTGGCGCGAAAGGCTGCGCGATTTTGCATGTGGGGGCTGGTCGGGGGAGGGTAGTGGACCCGGCGCTGGGATTGTGCCAGGGACGTCCTGAGCCGTGCACGGGTCCGATGGTGCATGGGTCTGAGGGTTGGCGGATGGCGCAGGGGGCCTGGTAAATGCGCAGGCTGTTTTCCCTCTTGGGAGGTTTCAGCAGGCGGCACACCCCTGTCAAGTTTTCGCGCACGTGCATGCGGCGCGCACTCATGTGTCCGCGTCGCGAACACACACCCGCAGGTTCCGCTGCCGGGGCTGCCTGACTCGTTCCTGGAAATATCAGCCTTCCTGGCTGACGCAGGTGGGGCCCCTGGGGGATGGTTTGAATGTGTGAGAGTGTCCATGTGTGTGTGTGTGTGTTTGTGAGTTTGGCTTAGTGTGTGTTTGATTGTGTATTTGTGAGTACATATGTTTCTGTGTGTCTTCATGTGTACATGTGGGGCCACCGAGCGCAGGCTTGTCACAAGCCAACGCGCACGTGCTGTGGGCCTGCAAAGCATTACGGCAGGCGTGGCGGAGCAGGACGCGGCCAGCGCGTGGGTGCGCCGCCTCTGCACGTGTTGTTAC